GGATTTAAAAGGCTGGCTAGCTGCACGGTTTTTCCATGGCTGCCTTTGATGTGCTTTTTCTTCCGGCCAGATGGACACATCCTGAAACTGGGGCTCTATACTGCACTGCCTTACACATACACAAGAAAAGCACAGTTTTCTTGTTCTGTACACATTCACCTTACTAGGCTTTTTCCACATATATCCTTCTGTATGTTTGTTTTCATATGTTTCTGTAGGATGAGTGAGTATGAACCTGTCTGAACGTTCCTCCCGCAGGAGGATCTGCTACCAGGAGGTGTCCCAGTGTTTCGGGGTGCTCTCCAGCAGGGTTGAGATGCAGGATGCGAGTGGGGCCACCTCTCCTGTCCGGCCCAGTGCCAGCACCCAGGTTCAACCATCACGCCCATCCTTCTAGCCCAGTCATCCTGACTCCAGCCTTTTCTTAGCATGCTTCCTCTCCGCTAACACCTCCCGCTCTGTGTCCTCCTGCCCTCCCCCACACCACCCCCCAGGCCCTGTCCAGCAGCGTCAGCTCCAGCAAGCTCTTCCCCAGCAGCACCTCCCCCCATGAGACTTCCTTCGGGGAGGAGGTGGAGGTGCACAGCCTGCTGGTGGTGGACCAGCACACGTTTGAGGGTAAACCTGATCACCTATGACCAGAAACCCACTACCCTGGTATCTTGTACTTGTTCTTAATCTGTGTTGTATTCAGCACATTAACCCCAACCCCCTTTTGCTTGCCCCTCTCCACCAGTCCTCCATGCCCACCAGTTCCTACAGAGTGAATATGCCCTGAGCATGGTGTCCTGCCGCTTGGGCAAAGACCCTGCCGTCTACTTTGTCGTCGGCACGGCGATGGTGTACCCCGAGGAGGCGGAGCCTAAGCAGGGACGCATAATTGTGTTCCACTACACTGATGGTGAGGGGGAGGAGATTCATCTTACCTGCTCTGCCATTGGTCGTTTTTGTTTCTACTTCCTGTTTCTAACATGACGTCAGTAGGTTGTAGCAGCTCTTTCTAAAGGCATTTCCATATTACTTGGACAGAAAACAATTGTATGTGTTTCTGCTGTATTTTTTGGTGAAATGTCTTTATTTAAACAGAAATTGTCCACATTGCCCACCACACAACTCAAGCTTTATTTCACGAAACATTTGATGGTGATTTTAATTTGTGGCGCACTGTCATGTCGTGTCCATGACAGCTTTGATACAATAAGAACAATTGGATCCTCATGCATATACTACATGCTGACTGTCCACAAGCAGTCATAGGACAGGTTGTCTTTATGGGAGTTGTCTGATACGCCTGTGTTTATTAGCACTGCATCCCATGCCTCTAGTGTTGTGTAGCTGCCGCCAGTGGTCTTCCGGTCTTTACTGATTGTGCCTCGACCGCTAACAGGGAAGCTGCAAACGGTGGCCGAGAAGGAAGTGAAGGGAGCAGTCTACTCTATGGTGGAGTTCAACGGCAAACTTCTGGCCAGTATCAACAGCACTGTGAGTGTTGATCTTCTGGTGGTCTCTGCACCCAGTTTGACGTCTAACCAGCAGTGTTTGGAGATCATGCCGCATCCCAGGCATTTATGTCCCCTAAAGTCAGTGTTTATGAACCCAGTCCTCAGGGGTCCTCAGACACACATTTTTGCTCCCTTCCAGCACCGCTGAACCAAACAATCAGGAACCCTGCATACCTGGTACAGGTGTTTTGGTAGCTGGGAAGGAACAAAAATTTGGACTTTCTGATGGTCTCCAAGGATCGGGTTGAGAAACTCTGTCCAAAATGAACCAGCAAATTAAGGGCATGTAATACAAGGTGCAACAAGCGTGGCAATGTGTCACCAGACTATCCATCAGACACACAGGAGAGCGTGTGCCCCCCCCCCCCCCAGGTGCGTCTGTACGAGTGGACAGCTGAGAAGGAGCTGAGGACGGAGTGCAATCACTACAACAACATCATGGCGCTCTACCTGAAGACCAAGGGTGACTTCATCCTAGTGGGTGACCTCATGAGGTCCGTGCTGCTGCTGGCGTACAAGCCCATGGAGGGGAACTTTGAGGAAGTAAGTGGACCAGTCAGAAGGACAGAGCACGTCGGTCCGTACAGATGGCTGTACGTGATTGGTTTAGAGGTCCTGATTAGTTTCTCTGAAGAGGGACCAAGCAACAGTGGTCTAATCATAGACTCAATTAGACACAAAATGAATATGGTTAAGTGTCAAAGAAAGTAGATATGGAATTGAAATCAACAAACATGAGTTCAGTCAAAGGGAAGTCTGACCTTAAAGGTTAGTTCAGGCTATTTATAATCCCGCATGTTATAGTCTCTACTGTATGTTGGTTTGGCTGTTTAAACGCTTCTGATTTGTGTAGATATGCTGTGAATGGTCTGTTACACGCTAGCGATGCCCATTTAGCCTTCCTACTGCCTAACACTCTCCCCCCTCCTGTCAGATTGCCAGGGACTTCAACCCGAACTGGATGAGCGCCATTGAGATTTTGGACGATGATAACTTCCTAGGGGCGGAAAATGCCTTCAACCTCTTTGTGTGCCAGAAAGACAGGTATTGCCTTATCTTTAATCAAAGCACTTAGTCACCCGCAGTGACTCGAGCCGTATGTACACAAGCTCAGTGCACAATTACAAAATGAACAGTGTATTAAAATGAAAACCTCCGAAAGTGAACAAGTGCAATAGTGTTTTAGCAAAATTCTAGACATTCTGCTGTAATTTATGCTTTGCAAGCATGGATCACATTCCCCCCCCCCCAACCCCCCAAACATAGTGCTGCAACCACAGATGAGGAGCGTCAGCATCTGCAGGAGGTTGGGGTTTTCCACCTCGGGGAGTTTGTCAACGTATTCTGCCACGGCTCCCTGGTCTTGCAGAACTTGGGCGAGAGCTCCACCCCCACCCAGGGATCCGTGTTGTTTGGAACCGTTAACGGCATGATTGGTGAGGCCACGCTCAGCATCTGGTATTCTGTGGCATGCATGCACTTGATTGACTCGCTGGATGGTTAATCGGAGATACTGTTAGAGCATGGAAAAGGTACAGCCAATGAAAAATGTGCAGTGCCTGTCCCGCCCCCCATTTCCATCCAATTAATGATAGTTTTGTTCCAGGCTTGGTCACTTCTCTGTCAGAGGGCTGGTATAGTCTGCTGATGGACCTGCAAAACCGGCTGAACAAGGTTATTAAGAGCGTTGGCAAGATTGAGCACAGCTTATATCCTTTCTACAAAAAAATAAATGTGTACGTGAGAGTGGCTTCGGTCACCTTGGTATGCGTCCTGTTCTCCCACTGCACTGTCTCTCTAACAGTCTTTGTTTTGGGCCAGATATATGACAAAGTAAGTTGGGAACCCCATTGCATACTGGGATGTGTCAGAACTCCTGTGCGTCACTGGTGGTATAGCCTGCGGCAGAATTTGTCCCTTCCTTGACGAGCTGTACTTGGAGGTCCTTCCACACAGAGCGGAAGACCGAGCAAGCCACTGGCTTTATTGATGGAGACCTGATTGAGAGCTTCCTGGACCTGGGCCGGGCCAAGATGCAGGAAGTGGTTAGCACCCTACAGGTGAAACCTTTTTGACGTGTGCTGTGATAGGGGAGGTGGAAAGTTACAGGGTGTCTACTGCTCTCACTGTGCATGTGGCTTTTTCCCATTTACAGCTATTCAGAACTAACTACACAAGTGTCTGTTCCATTCACAGCCTCATTCCTCAGTAATTGCTATTGGGCTTCTGGCCTTTGCTCCCAACAGACTGTCTTAACCTTCATCTTGGCAGGATGTCATGTGTGCAGATCCTCTGTCTCTCTCTCTCTCTCTCTCTGACGGTTAAAAACGGCCGCAAAGAATAGGTGAAAAGTTTTCCTCTAGTGTGAATGCGTCGCACAGGAAACTGGCTTGTCGAGACTGGGGCTGGGGGGTCCTGCACTGTTGCCCTGCTTTGTGTCGCATTTTGGGACTCTGTGGTTTCTGCACTTCTGTACGTGATTCGTTGAGGGAGTGAACTGAGCGGGCCGTCCGTCTGCTTTTCAGATCGATGACGGCAGTGGGATGAAACGGGAAGCTACGGTAGACGAGGTCATCAAGATCGTGGAGGAACTGACCAGGATTCATTAGCCACGCCCCTGACGTTCAGGTGGCGGACTGTAAATAACTATAAATAGACTACAATTAAGGAAGATACAGAGGCCCCGACTTTCCCCAGACTGACCTGACCAGGCATTCTCTCCCATCAGCACAGCACCGTGAAGACTACATTATTGTCAGTGAGATGGAGCAAAGGTTGTGTAAAGTGAGGCCATATTCTGTGAACACAGCAGAATCTTTTGTGTCGTCCGTTTGGTAAAAAAACAGGGTGTGGAAGGGGTGGGGTGGGGGGGCGTTGGCTGTGAGTGTGTGATTCCTAGTGCTTTTGTGTTTGTGTTGAATTTTGTTTTAATAAAGTTTACCTGCTGTATTATGTGTCCTCGTCCTGTGTGTACACAACTCTTAATTGAAAGCCCATGTACATCTGCTGTAAGTGCTATGTTTATGAGCACATTCTGTTAAAAATAGTAAACTGCTATTTTGTATGAAGTGCACATTTACACAGTATTGAAATCATAAGCTGATTATATAGCCTGTAGGGCATTGCACTGTTTTTTTAAAATAGTCATACTATATCAGCAATAATGCCTGTAACACGTAAATTATTTTTTGTTAAACTGTACAGTTTACACTATAATAATGTCAATAAAATGTTTTCTTGGTAAGGTTACTGTGTAGGAATGATTGACCGCTGCATAACAGTACGTGCCCAGCTACCAGCAAGCTCTGATACTTTTGTTCGAACAACTTTTGCGATCGAATTACCTTATTCACATATATATCATTATAATTTATCCAGGGGTAAGTACTCAAGGATGAAGCGCGTTTGTACCTGTACACCAAATAAAGAAGCGGGGTAATTGTCACTGGGAATAAGCCAATAGAAAACACTTCCGGTAATTCGTTTCAGCCAATCAAAAACGAAGGCGTGTAATCCGAGTGTGGTTCCGCCGTTAACCAGCTGAATATCCTAATAAATCGATCAATAATCTTATGTGCAATGCTTGGAGGTACTTCCCATTAGATGTTGATAACGAAGTGCACAAGGATCAAAACATAGATCTAGACAGCATATCAGTCAGGTTGGTGAGTCTGCGGCAAAGTGGCCTGTGACGTGTTAACATTAGCTAGCTAGTGGCTAGAGATCCTCAATGAATATCCATTGAAATAAAATATTAAAACTTATCTGCAGTGGTGATCAACAGCAATTTAAGATTATTTTTCGCGCGCGTATTTTCCGTAAGATAAATAAATATGGATTGTAAATTGCTGCAGAACTCTTTTTATTAGTACTTTTAATTTTGGTTGTCTTCCGTATCACTGTTATCTCACATGTACGATTCCTGATGTTTACTTTTGACAGACCTGTTTTTGATCTGTGAAACATTTAAACCGAGATAAAAAAAAAAAACAGGGAAAACAGAAATACAAATATCGTGGTTTCAAAAGTAGTGGTGTAGAAAAAAATTCATGTCAACTTAACAGGAGCAGCGCTGAGATGAGGGGTGCGTTGGTTCTTCTGTGCGTCTCCCTGTCTGCCCTGCTGGTCAGTGGCACTCTGTCGAAAACAGATGCAAAGAAGTCCTCTAAAACTCTGGAGACGGAGGTGAGGATATCTGACAGATCGAGTGAGAAGGCATATAATGTGAAGAATACCTCTCTTTGTGATACACTCCATTTGTCGTGTCATCATGCTTATGTAGATTATAGACAGTTGTAATGTGTGGGATTGAGTCCAGTGTATAAAAATCAAACGCGAATAACAGTGAAAAACAAGTTTTTCTTTGGTTTCGTAAAGAGGCTTAGGGTGCTTTTGGTTGCACTTGCACCTATTAAAATGTCTGGATTTTTACTGGGCAGCAGGTGGTGCAGTTAACAAATATGGTTATCTCAGCCGTTCTGCAGATGGTGGACTTAAAACGCTGTCATTCTGCCGGTCGGTATAAGCTATTATATAAGATATTTCCCGACCTGTGGGTGATGCCGTCTGATGGGCAGTGTTGGCCCTTTCTCTGTGACAGACGACGCCAGCGGACCGTCCTGTGCAGGAGCGGGGACTGGTGGTGTCTGACGTCCAATGGAGGGACATCGTACGGGAGGAGAAGAGATACTGCCCAAAAACCACGGGGGTCCGCAACTTTCAGGGCACAGTGCTGGGGTACATCACACCAGTGAGTCCGGCTAACTAGGGTCCTGCTACCCGCTCACCTCAACCGCTGAATTACAGTCCTACTGTGTCCTGAACTATAGTATTTTTTTAGAATCATACTCAGTCACTGTAGGAATAATATGGTAAACACACTCCCCTGGTGATGAGCCTGTTCAAAATAAATTAAAGGAGCTAAAATTAGTAGGAATGTTTGTCTTTGTGTTTTTGGTGGTGACCTGCTTGATGTTAATGGTGGGGGGCAGTGAACTTCAGTATTCACACACAGAGCGTGTCCCTGTCCAACAGTGGAACTCGCCCGGCTACGACATCACCAAGCTGTTCGGGCCCAAGTTCAGCTCTGTGTCCCCCGTGTGGCTGCAGCTGCGACGTAGGGGACAGGAGAGCTTCCACATCACCGGGCTGCAGGACCACGATCCCGGTGACCGCTGCACGCGCGCACACACGCACGCCCGCACACACGCAGGCCCGCACTGGCACGGCGGCACGCCTGCTCACCATTCACACAGCGCTCTCTTGTTGGCACACTGACGCCCACAGGTGCACATCCCAGCATGCCCCGGCAGCTTGATTGCCTCGCACATCTTTTGAACACTGCTGCACATCTGCACCCCTAGCTCTCCCAGCGGGCTCAGCTGCCACATCAGTCAGCCGTGATGCCAAGTTTTTTTGCGATGTTGGTGTGTCAGACTCACAGGATTTTTGCCATTAGTTTAGGATTCTTTTCTCAATGTGTGAAAGCTGCTTCCCCCTGGGAATATGAACCCTCAGGTCTCCTGAGGGTCCCTATTTATTTAGTCGACACTTTTGTCCAAAGCGATGTACAAGAGAGGACCAGTGAGCAGGGACAGCCAGTGTAACTGGTGCATTTGGGGTTAAGGGCCTAGCTCGATGGCTCGCCAGTGAAATCACTCCGCCACCCACAGGATTTGAACCAGTGACCTTCACATCTATAGGGTCCCCATGCAACAACACAAGGCCATGTGACAAAAAAACTGACATGTGACTACTTTCCAGGGTGGGTGAAGGCAGTGAAGAAAAGCAACAAGAAGATGAAGATGTGTAAGTCTTCCTGTCGGCTCCTGTGCTCCTTGCATCTCTTGTTTATATGTCAAACTGGAGAATCATTGGGACGTTGTTTCCTGGTTGCATCAGATCTACCTACAGTATTTATGTTTGCATGTATGTGTGGGCAGGTACTATATTTGCCATAACAACTAGCTGTCGTTGCTGCTGGGAGCAGGTGGTGATTCGAATATCTATTATGGTCTGGTCAGATTCCCTGAATGGCGTCCGCCAACATAACACATCTCTCTTACTCTCGCTCTCTCAGTACCCCGCCTGCTGTTCGATGGCTGGTCCTACCAAGACTACATGAGCGTGCTCGACAGTGAGGACGAAATCGAGGAGCTGGGCAGAGAGGTGGTGGAGGTGGCAAAGGTACCCCCCTGATGAGACGCCCGTCCATCACAGGCCCCACACACACACTCAGACTCACACACCCAGTTAACCTAACTAATTGGACTGTGGGAGGACCTGGTTCTGAACTCTCAGTTCTGGAGGTGTGAAGGAACAGTGCTGCCTACTGTTCCTACTCTGCTGCTGCCTTCACTTAATTTATTTTTAGCATTTTTTGTGTGCCTCTATGTCTGGTACACCAGGGTATTAAAAATAATATGTAATAATAAGATTAATTTTCCGGAGGCTAGTCCTGAATCAAGTCCTAATTTAATTTATAACCGTTGTGGTTTTAAATGATGTGCGTTTGGGCCGCAGTAGCCTTGAGGCTGTGTGGGTGTTCGGGTTAGGTGTCAGTGTGGTGGAGATGTTGGGGATTTGCGGCCGTGCGGCACCGTGCTGAGAGCTCTCTCCCCGGCCGCAGGCGGAGGGATTTGACGGCTACGTCCTGGAGCTGTGGAGTCAGCTGGGGGGGAACAAAAGGAAGTGAGCGCCTGCCAGCCTGCCCGCTTTTCATCCGACACCCCTGCCTTGTCTGTCTTTTACAGTTTCTGTGTTGTTATTATTAGTAGTATTTAATTCCCCATGTGAATTAATGTGAAGCGATGTACGGTTTATCTCCTGAGTTTACCTCTATTTGCCTACTTCATCTGTTGCGATGTGTCATATTCATCATTTCATCCACCTGCTCTCGCCACATTAATCCACAGTGGCATTTGTCTGCCTCTCTGTAGCTTGTGTGTGTGTCTGTGTGTGTGTGTGTCTGTGTGTGTGTGTGTGTGTGTCCGTTTTTTGTGTGTTTCCCGCTCACTTTTGTTTTTCGATGGCACTGGGTTCTGCCTCACGCCCCTGTCAGCCAGTGGCAGTCGTACACACTGCGTTGCACTGGAGATCACTTCCAGACCGGAGGAACTTTGTCTCCTTCTAGCAGCCAAATCAGCATAATCCAGAGTCAAACTGTAAGGAGGACTTCAGGGACCGAATGAATCGCAAGGGATACTTGTTTAGCTTAACATCCTAGAATAGACCTTTTGAGAACTTTAATAGAGTTCTTGACTTGATTGGTAACCGCAGTGAACCAGCTTTTACATTACTTGTCTATGGCCTTCAATGGAGTATTTGTTACAATTTGCATTTGCCCTGTGTTTCCTAGGGAACTGGTTCACCTGGTGACGCACCTGTGTGAGACGTTGAAGGCTGCGAGGCTCAGCTGTGTGCTCGTCATCCCTCCCCCTGTCTCTCCAGTGTAAGGCCCTGTCCCTCTGTAGCCAGCAGCTTCTGTGAGCTTCTGGCAGATCGCCTTCCGTTAGGCCGATTGGTCGGCCCCGCTCCTGATCCGCAGTGTGCCTCCACCAGCTCCGGGCAGCCTGGGATGTTTGGGCGTGAGGAGTTCCAGCAGCTGGCCCCCGTGGTGGATGGCTTCAGCCTCATGACCTACGATTTCTCCAATCCCAGCAGGTCAGTTGTTCCCACCAATCACAGCTTGCTTACCTGGTTACCACATGAGTCGGAGGTACTGATTCGCTGACTGAACAGTGCATCCCCTGATTTTTTATTTTTTTTGTAAACGAGCATCAAACAGACGATGCAGCTATGAGAGATATTACTGCACAATGACTGACACCTGGAACAAGCAGAGAAGCAGCGAATAAGCTCTTTGCTCCTCTTCCTGTACCCCCCCCCCCTTAGGCCGGGCCCGAGTTCACCACTGCCCTGGGTGCGGGACTGTGTTCTGCAGTTGTCCCCTCAGACCCAGTGGAGGCACAAGATTTTGCTGGGCATCAACCTGTACGGTTTGGACTTCTCCAGCCAGGGTGGAGCTGAACCTCTGCTTGGGGGCAGGTCAGACCCACAAAGGACATGCACTGTTACCCGGCAACACAGATAATATCCACTGCCTCACAAAAATAATTAATTACAGACAGAGGTGGAAAGTTCAGGTCCAGAAAGTACAAATCCTTACCGTGGTTTTGTTTCAACCAACCCGCTGAGTACTCTGTTATTTTAACTCTTTATACTCAGCTGGTTGGTTGAAGCAAAACCTTGGTCTGGATTTGTACTTTCTGGACCTGAACTTTCTTTGGTGAAGCAAAAAAAAAATCCAGTATATTGGAAGGATGGAACAGAAACGTTCCTCTGGTCACGGTGCTTAAGTTCGTTGTGTGTTTGCTTGCGCTGGTGTCCTGTGCCAGATGAGGTGATTGTGCCTTTTCGTGTCCTGTGAGCGAACAGCCTTGTCTGCAGTGCCATTCCGCTGACACGTAGTCCCTGCTCTGCTGCGAGGATAGGGAGTCTGTTGAATGTTTTCTGCTGCAGAAGGTGACGTCGCTGTTTAAGATTTGTTATTATTCGTTGAAGGTTTCGTGTCACTCTGATACTGACCTGCTGATGTGGCAAGACGCTCAAGGTCCTGCTAAAGGTTGTTGTTCACTGTCTGCCTGCTTGACCATTATGAAAGAGTTACACAAGACACACTATCTTACAGACTATTAAATGGTTTTCAAAATTGCTTATCAGTTTACACATATATAAGTGTCAATTCAAGATCAGAAGAAAATAAGGAAGTACTTTACTTGATGGGGCACAAATATAGTATTATGCTATTAATTAACATAAGAACAACATAAGAACATAAGAACTATACAAACGAGAGGAGGCCATTCGGCCCATCAAGCTCGCTTGGGGAGAACTTAACTAATAGCTCAGAGTTGTTAAAATCTTATCTAGCTCTAAATCTTATCTAGCTGGATAAGATTTTAACAGCTCTGAGCTATTAGTTAAGTTCTCCCCAAACGAGCTCGATGGGCCGAATGGCCTCCTCTGCTTTGGGAATTTCTTATGTTCTTATGTTGCTGTTCACCAGACACATTTCTGCCACTTCCATGCACACAAAGTTGTACCAGTATTAGGCAGAGTGATGTCACCATTTTCACTCTCTGCATAGGAAGGAAAATCACTTTACATCACAGCGCCAATGGCTGAGCAGCGCCCCTTATTGAGGAAACCGCTCCGGGTTCTAATGTGAATTTAAACCAGCCGTCTGCACACGGTACGGAAGACGGACGAGAGCCGAGAATACCCGGCTTTTTAAAATTTTATTACTGACCAAACAGGAATGGAAGATCAAAGCTGTCCAAATAAAACAAAGTGAATGGTTCATTATTAAAGAGAATGATTAAGTAAAAGACTCCATAAATAAATAAAACCGGCAAAAAAAATGAAAACTGAATACATTGTGAAAATGGTGCATAAGATATTAAAACAAAAGCATTTAACTTCTGAATTAATGTAAGAGTTAGTCAAAAGTAAATATAAATCAAACATTAAGAAAATGTATACACTCGATTATATTCTGAATTTGATTATTTCCTCATTTACGTTGATGTATGTAATTATTTGTTAGCTACAGCATAAAACATTAAGTTTAGACAAATAAGACTTCTGTGGGTAACAGGGTCGAGCTCAGTCAATGAAGACGCTGAAAAGCGTACATGAATAAGCCATGACCGAGGACGGGCTCCGCAGCCCTGTGTCCCTGAGGCCGTCCTTTAAGTCCATATCCAATCACCTCGCACCTTTTAACAGGCTTTGCTCTGATTGCTTGCATGATGAGCCACCCACATGGCCGTCAGGTATAAATGCCTGTAATTAAAATCTCCTTTATGGAATCCGCACCCCCCGCCTTGACCCTCCTGGACCCGTACAGCTCCTTTCGCTCTTGTCTTTGACAACCGTGTGAAGTTTTAGGCGTGAGAGTCACAGTCTGAATCATATTTAAACCAGCATTTGCATAATTTGTGATGCTTCCAGAACGTATTGTTGTGGTGTATTTTGGGGCTGATAATTAAGGAAAGGATGCAAAAATTTTGTTTGGATTCTGCATGAAATAATGTACAATTTGACGTGCTCACAGTTTTCTTAGTCTGCGTGTGTGTATATGTATGTGTGTATATGTGTATATATAGCGTATATATAAATATGTATATGTGTGTGTGCAAAATTGTTACTGACTGATTCATTACTGCTTTAATCCTCCATTTGCCGCAAATCACAAACTAAAATAATCAATTTACCACATAACCCTTCCACGCTATGCCTCCTTCCTTCTCCTTTCACTTTCTGCCCTGCAGGCATCTCAGATGAGCATATTTTTTTTTCACCCCCATTCTCGTTAGCGAGAAGATGGCCAGACGTTTAGCATTCATGTGAGTGTGGGTTTCGAGGGATCAGAGGGGACAAAACGGCCCTCTGATGTACGGCCGGGTGGCTCCTGATGAAATATCCCAGGGGAGTGGAATGGATGAATTCGCAGCTAACTGTGTGTGTTTGTCCAGCTCCTCTCTGTGAAATAGCAGGGCAGCCCAGCCATCTTTTTGTCAGGAAGTGCGTTGGAGCACCTCTGTCGTTTTTAGCTCTGCTTTAACCGAGACAAAAAATCTGAAAGGGGTCAGATCCAAGAACTCCGTCTTATGCCTTAAGTTGTGTTTTTTTTGTTTCCAGTGCCGACGGCAGAAGCCTTCACAGAAAATGAAAGATTGCATTTAATAGCAATAAAAAGAAAAATGCTGAAAAGCTTTTGATACATGCATGAAATGAACCAATAATTTTCGCTTTTACCCATGGATCACTTACCTTAAAAGTATGAAGTAAACAGGAATGCACCATTGATGTGTATAATAGCAGTTCAATAAAATAAAATGGAACAGCCTGTATAATGCATAAACTGTGCAACATATTGGTACACTGCACACTACATAACAATATATTTGCTGATAAGCCGTAACCTGTACTGCCCCACAAAGGCAAAACTCGCTACACTAACACTACTGAAACAGACAAATGACTTCTGAGTGTTTTAACTGTCCACTTGGGCTGCTCAGTTACAGCAAAAAACAAAAATCACGACTATTTTGGTCAATGTTCAGATCACGATTATTTAAAACGATTTCTCATTGACTCAAAACATGCAGTTATGTTGTTTCAGTACGGTTGTGTCTAATCTCCTCCTTTTGGGTTCCTTTGCAGGTACGTCGAGCTTCTGAAGGAACTGAAGCCGAAGTTGGTATGGGACGAGCAGTCGGGGGAACACTACTTCAGCTACAAAAGGTTTGTCTCGCCTTTTCAGGCCTTTATAGCAGACATACTACGTAAGGGTAATGCACTCCAAGCCACGCATTATACATTTATAAACGCACGGCTGCGGAGGCGAAGAAGCAGCTGAGCTAAGTGCAGCATTAACCTGCTTATGAAGCCGTGGACCCTGTGCCGTAGCAGAAATGTCACTCCAGGTCTCTGGCTATGGTCTAGGATACGCGGCTAATGATGCCATAGATTCTATGCAAAAATATGAATCAGCCTTTATTCTTCTGTTATCATATATTTAGCTTTCAGGTTTGTACATAAAGAAGACCTGCGTTATTCTACGTTATTCTTTTTTTGTTTGTTTTAGTTTCTATTCATTTTAAATTGTGTTCTGCTAAATATTGTAATAGCGCTCTTGATGTGATTCACCTGGCTGGCACTGCATGTGAAACGGGTCAGAATTAACGGAATTAATGGAATTAACGACACCCTTCTGACCAATCAGATTCGAGAATTCTATGTCGCCGTGGTATGAAGGATCACTTGAACAGATAGTAACAAAGCCGAGCTCGTGTTGTCCTTTAGGGGAGACGTGATATACAATTAGAAAATATATGAAAGATGTTTTGGGTAAAGTGGCAGCTTAGCTTATTGCTAGCTGAGTGGATGGGTAAATGCTAAGAGCGGCTCCGCGCTGTGAAACCCGGGAGCCTGTCGGCGATGCTGACCGCTCTGCAGTCCCTCACGCCGCCACCGGAGGCACGTGGGAGCCGTGGGACGCCCTGTCAGAAGTGAGTGATGGCGGCTTTGTGGATATAAGCATTTCTGTCCTTCACAGAGCACTGCTGATGAGGTGCTTAAGGTGGTCTCATTCTTCATGCACAGGTATATCACTGTAGCTTAGCGTTTGCAGGGAAATGTGACCTTAAGTGTGCAGACATGGCAGCCGGAGAGATTATTTACTCGCCGCATTGATGTCAGCAAGAGACACCTGTGTAGTAATCGTCACTGTACGTGTGTTAATTACATCTTCTGTTGAGTTTTCCTAAACTGTGGAGAAGAACCCCCCCCCCCACCAAACACGAGCATGGAGTCCTGTTTCCCCGGGACCACTGGATTTTTCGCAGTGCAGAACCTAAATCAGTGGTTTTCAGTGGCAACCTGCTGGGTTTTGCAGGTGCTTCTGTGCAGATAAAGTGATGTGAACAATCCCAGCCCCCCAGTACAGGGCTTCCAGGATCAGGTATGAAAACCACTGATCTAAATGCTGGATAAATACTCAGTGGGTTATTCAAAATCTGGGAAACCGTCCATGAAGATGCTCATTATACAGCTTACAGTAATTACACATAGGTAGGGGGTATCATTTAATCGAAGGTCATTTCAGTCAACATGAGAAATGTGTAAAATGAAAATGAGTACTGAGATTCCCCTTTATCTCTCCATCCATCCATTCATCTTCTAGCCACTTTGTCAGGTTTGGAGGGGGGTGAGGTGGTAGCACTGGAGACAGGGCTGAGGTTTATTCTGGACCAGATGCTGGTAAATCACAAGGCGCGCACACACACACACACACACAATCTTGAATTATTAGGTACCTCGGAGACCCCAGTCAGGCAAACTGCATGTCCATGTGCTACGGGAGGAGACCAGATTACCTGGAGGAGACCATGTGACACGGGGAGAACCTGCTCCACACGCACTGTGTGGAGGCGGGACTGGAACAGAGGAGAGAATAGAACCTGCTCCCCAGGAGGCATCAGACACCAGCGCTGCTGCCCACTGAGCCGCTGTGCTCTCCTGTGTTTCTGTCTGATTATTATTGGTAGTATTATGGGTGTTATTGTTACTATTATTATTGGTAGTATTATGGGTGTTATTGTTACTATCATTATTGTTTCAGTGGGCAGCACTATGACCCACTCCTGCAGGGTAGTGGTTTCTGTTTCCTCCTGAGGTCTGTTTGTGTGGAGTTTGCATGTTCTCCCCGCGTCAGCCTGCCGGCTCGTCGTCGCCCTACAAAGGATAAGCAACTATGGAAAATGGATGGAGAATGATTTGCTGTGTAAAAATACAATCAGAACTGGGGTAACGCTGAAGGAGACACCGCTGAGGAGAATATGCTAGTCTGTTCGGCTTCATGACCTGAGCTGACTGGGGTTAAGATAAAAAGATGAAGATAAAATATAAAGATTAAGGCAAAAAAATTGGCTTGGGTGAAGTTCACAAAAATGTTTCTCTCTGGAATCCCAGGGGGAGCTCGGCTAAGCACGCAGTCTACTACCCGTCGCTGAAGGTGAGCATGTCACCATGGAGAGTGTCACCAGCCCTGCCTGACCTTGTGTGTGTTTTTGTGCCCTCCTACCACTGCCACTGTGTTTTGGCCGTGTGTCTGTTTCCCCCCCCCCCTTGTACTACTTCCACCCCCTGCTCAGATAAAACCATTTATTTCTCTGCTTTTAGTTCATCCAGCTGCGACTGTCCTTGGCATCAGAGTTGGGGACTGGAATCTCAATGTGGGAACTGGGACAAGGGCTGGACTATTTCTATGACCTCTTGTGACAGAAGATGGACAAGGACAATGAGGACAATGTACCAACACCTTCTGCTCTGGTCTGATTTTACTTACAGAGAGTGGATGCAAGACATCACAACTTGGGTCAAGTCAATCAATTGATCTTCCTTCAGCATGTCAATAAATATCATTACTTAAAGGACAGGTTGCTCCTCAAACTGTACTCCTGAAAGCTGTAAGCCGTGTGTGTGTGCGTGTGTGATAGCTCTGTGCACAGCCCCCGATTGGCCAGTGGCCACAGCTGAGCCATTGATTGTGCATGGATCTGCTGAGCAACTGCTAGTGCCCAAGTTAGTGAGATTAACCTCCTGCAGCTCCAGGCTTGTGGGATGGATTGTTGCTAAATCTTCCCTGTGTCTGATTTCTCCCAGTCATTCAAAAACCAAGGAAGGATTTGCTTGCCACACAGGTAGTAAGAATTTATTTTTTAAATTTATTTATACTTTAATAAGGTTTTGTTTACATAAATATGTTTACATTTTTTCAGTCCCAGTTTAGTAAAGATTCTGAGAAGATGGTACAAATTTTATTTATTTTTTTCTCACACAAACATCTCAGTTTCTAGAAACATCCAGCGACTTGCGTTTTTTTTTCCTGATTTACATGTGTACACACATCAAAAGCGCTACAGTGTGCTACATCATTGGTCGGCAGCCCTGGTCCTGCCCTTCTCCTGTCCATCTTTATGTGCTATCTGTTAATCACCTATTGTTGGAGAATTAGACACCTATTGTTCTGGGCAATTAATTTGACAATAGGAGGTGATAAGTAAAATGAGCTTGGTTATGGATTCCTAGTACCAGGGCTGATGAACCTCTGTGGTGGATTGTGTGGTGTGTTTGGGTTGGGCAACTCTCACGTGGAAGAGAATCAAATTTTCTATGGGACAAAAAACTGTGAACCAAAGTAAAGCGTCAAACTGGCATCATCCAGAAGAGGCTAAAGTATTGTAATGTCTTCTTCACCCAGAGTGTGGAAAACAATATGGTTTATGGGAATTATGAGAGTTTAGTAATTATACAAGTGGTTTGTGACCTGATCTTGAAGACAAAGGATTGTGGCGTTCCTTTTAACAGTAAAATGTGTTTTTTTGGTATTACACCCTCAGTGTTTTAGTAATATATACAAACAGCTTAATTATAATCAGTATAAAATCATGAAATAATCCTCAATAAGTATAGCAGGAAAGGGGATTTTAAAAATGTTTATACACCTGTTGCTGTCTGCTGACCACAGACAGGCCACTCAGTCACATCCTGTTGTACCCAATTTGCCTCTAAAACCGTGGCAATTACTATGTAATGCCATTGTATCTCATCATTTATTTACACATCTGCGTAATAATGACAGTAATTGAAGTAGGGCTTGGGGTTAAAAAACCCATCATGTCCCATTGCTACAATTCATTTCTGTACTATTCAGCTGCATAATTTCACATGAATTGTGCATGAATGGAATCTTGTTATGTTCCGAAGCGGAGCTGTTGTTACTGTAGAAGCTGCAAGATGACATGGGGCCTGTTAACACCTCTCACTAATAGAAAGCACATCCATGCTATAAACTACTAATGCATCTATATTTGATTGAAACAGGAGTGAATTATTAGCAGACTGAAAATGGAAGATGTGGAGGGAGGTAAATCCGTGTACAGAAGTCATGAACGATAAGAGTGCACTTGGCCCTCCAGCAGCCTGTGTAACATATGCATGGCGCTTCATCAACTGAACAATTGTCTGCCATGGGCCTGTAGAAAAACTCCACCAATTCCTCAACAAGGGAATCTGCACATTTACATGGGTTAACAGGGCCAGATGTCACCCATCTTAAATATGGTGGTCATGACCTGGAGGTTTGTGCAACATGGGTCATTAATATTTGTCCTTTTCCCGTGTTCTGTGGAGAGTGTTTTTCCTTAAATGCCAAGCAAACATGGTGTAAATCCTCTATCCAGGATTAGCATTTTTACAGCGATTAAAAACTGGAGTGTCCAGGTCAGGTCCAGAAGTGCTGTGTTGGTTATCACTGTGGCTCAGATGCAGACTGAAGTCATCTGGGTCATCCCTCACCTGCTATTTCAATACAACAGCCTCTGCTTTAAAATTATTCTGAAATCTGAAAGACTCCAGAGTGAGCTGCCATTTCCCTGTCTGCTGTCAGTCTCTCTTACTGTAACACAGCGCAGGATGCTGACCAATCATCTACCCTCACAAATGCCCCTTGTCTTGTGCTTCTGTTTGGCCTTGCAAGTCTAGACTTAAACTCCTCTGCCTATCGCACCCCATCTCTTCTTTGTTTCCTTGGGACCTTCTTCCACGTCCCCGCATCCTCAGCAGCCGGCATCACCGAAAGGACGGCTAAATATGCTGCAACAATTACGTCTGGTTCAGTGCTGCCAGTGTCTTCTTGAAGCTGTAATAGCTATTCATGGGGGACTGGCAGTCCTTATAAACATGTAAGTCTGGGGGTGTCAGCCTTGCAGATTTCAGATGTGGCGGACCTGACAGCCGATGTGCTACGTCACTTTAGGTTTTTGTCCAAAAATAGGTACCGTAACCCCCTTATTAGAAGCATATTTGCATATTGTACAAGCTGTAGTTCTCTAAAAAGATTTTGATCATATTTTACTGTTATGCATTTTAATCAGTTTAATGGCCCATACAGGGTAGTTACAGAGGTATACCTTTCAAACCTCTCTACCATCTGCCTGAACCAAACCTACTGCTGCAAAACATCTGTCTGGTTCTGCCACATGTACCATTCCAGTGTATTATGGCAAAATGCAGTGTGTGAGCTCACGGTTCTGTTCCAGTTGGATGATCTGATGATAAAAATAAATGGCACTTATAGACAAAATACGCATTTCTTGATGAAGGACGATTATCTTTACTGGGTGAGTCCAATATTCAGCTAGAGGTTTGATTACCTAACTGAGAGGTCACAAAGACATCTTTTGGTTATAAAATGGTATTTTAATGGACAGCTCATTTTAATCAGGTGATATAATTGAGACTGAATTATTCACTTCGGTCATTTCAGTTTGTGAGAAAATAGTATATTAAGCATTGCTCATTAATTTGAACTCTTGGCATGGACCTGTAAATGTCAGCCTATAAAGATCTGGATGTTCAGTAACCTGGATTTAATATTGATATGATTTCTTCTCTATGCTATCTGTAAAATTACACCAGCATTGAGTTTGGGTATTCACATTTATTTAAATATTAATATAACTGTTGGACCCCAGACAAAATCCTTAGCGTCAGAAAACAAGTGAGTTTAACCTAACTAGCTATGTTCAACTCAACAGTGATTTTGTTTTGTTCATGTAATGAAATGAAGGCCCATTTCACAGCATCTACATGTCACTTTAAGTTATCGTGGTTCTTTAACAGCAGAAGCTGACTGACATATGGATGCCATTCTGAGGAAGAGAACCCAACGAGCACCATAGAGGACATGAAATGAGCCTTACAGAAAAGTCCACCTGATGTGGCATTTGCCTTTGTGGGTCACCCATATCCCAGCATGCCCATGAACACTCTGGGAGATCTAGGCGTAGAAGGTGTTCGTTTTCTCTGCCTGGCAGAACATGGTCATGGAGAAGACCAGACCCAGGATCTGCAAGCAGAAACATACCGAACATCATCAGTAGCTGGTCCAATTTGAAGCGATGCTACTACTTGTAGATACAGTTCATGTGTACGCAGAAGTTTCTTCTGTCTGTCAAAACTGCTTGGTTCACTTGTTAAGCTTTTATCATTTTTTTTTTGAGTAAAGTAGCAATTCCTGGCATTGAAGAATATCTACATCATGCAGCAGAGCTCCATGAGGGACTGGTGGTCATACCTGTGTCAGGGCTGTGCATAAGGCAAAGATCCACAAGGCCACCAGGTTCTCCTGCAGCCAACCCTTCACACGCTCATAGCAGGGCTGTGGGTGAAACAAACACGCACACACATCAATCAGGTGCAAGGGGGAACACGCTTCGCACATTATTCACGCCCGTGGTTGAAGAGCACACAAACACGGAACATGTAAGGGATTGAAACAGATGCTCACAAACAGGACACCATAAGAAAGACACACACAACGCAGATCAAAAAATGATGTCTAGGCATGATTTCTAATTATCATAACCACCACGTCTAATAAAAATGTTTTAATTAGCATAAGCAATAAAAAAAGTCCCAACCACATATTGTACTCTTTATATTTAAGTGCCTATTTTTAATACATTCTCAAGAAATATTTTTATGTTTATATTAAGAAATAACTACTCGTGAGTAAATAACTCCTTGATTGCTTCTTAAGGTGCTTATTTAAAGAGTGACTTTAATGAGCTGTGGTTTAATTAGTACCGTCAGCAATCCTGTGAGTTTCCCATTAAATTAATGTCGAATGTTTCAGGTATGAGCAGATGGAATGGGTCCCTCCTTGTTTGCTATGCACGAGTATCACGAGGAAATTATACACAGAATTAATCTAAAATCTGTTTCCTACTTTTCATTTCTGAAGAGGGGAAAAAAAACAGAATCAGTAATAAGCCTGCCCAATGCACCGGAGTTTAAAATTCAAATATTTTCTTCTTTTCAAATTCAAAGGGAGGCAATGTGGTGAGGCACTGGGTATCACTGACGGCTGACACCTCCAGGCTTGTTTGGATGCTCTCTTTATGTCATCTGCCTCCCCTCTGTATCCTGGCCTCCTACTGCGGTCCAGAGATGTGCAGTTAGTTGAATTAGCATCTCTCATTTGCCTTTAGTGTATGCTTGCGATTGCGTGCATGTCCTCATGTAATGCAGTGAGCTAGCATCCCATCCAGGGTGTGACCATGACCAGTGCCCTCCACTGCGGCTCTGCTTCCCTCTACGAACCTTCACTGGATAAGCTTTTGGAAAATGTATATATCATTTGATGGATAGAAAATCAAAGGCAAGGCCGACATGGAAAGGAAACAGAGGCCTTTGGTGAGTGCAAGACATGACTAGACTGCCAACTACATATTGTCTGTATCTGCTAATACCTTTGCACCTGTTTCAAAATAATGCAGGTTATATTTTCACTTGGGACTGAAAATAACTGATTGAGATTTGTAGAGTGGCTTTACATATTCTGTTTTCAAGCTACATGCAGCTATTGTTGACAGTGTGTTATAAAGTGGGAGGTACTGTATGGGGATATTGTGCAGAAAACTATTTCTGATTTATTTAATCTCCGATCCTTGGAGTCCCGGGAGAGATGGTCTGCACAGGCTCAGCTGTCAGATGGAAAAGTAACTGGAAGTAAATTTCAATAACATAATCAGACAGCTCCGTTGTTTCCAAATGCTTCAACGTGGTAAGGCTCAATGAATTTATGGACACTCTGTTTGCTATCGATTGAAATCTTCTGAATTGATAAATAAAATGAATTATGGTTACTGTAAAAAAAACACAACATCATCAGCACATTGAATAAGACCAGTGTATTATTTTAACACAATATAAACGTATATAAACATAAGAATGACACGTGGACCTGCTGGTTAGGAGGCTGTGCTTGTGATCGGAAGGTCACTGGTTCATAACAGCAGAATAATATTACTGTTGGGCCCTTGAGCGAGACCCTTAACCCCGGTTATTCCAGGGACTGGTTGATCCTGATCTGTCAAATGTGTTTCACTTTGAATAAAAGCGTCTGGCAAAAAAAAAACGAATGTAAATTGTGAAAAAGAGATCTTTGATGCCCCAATCAGGATACTGCTGAACATGGCTGGACTGGCCATCTGGCATATCAAGCATTCTCCCAGTGGGCCATTGGGAATGTGGACTGTCAAAATTTATCCCCCTCCCCCAACAAATTATATCTCCAGGGGCGTAGGAACTGAGTTGGAGTTTTCATTCATCTCTCGCAATAAATAGATCTTTTGTTGTGCCCGCCTCTCCCAGGCCGTGGTGCGTCTCACCGCAGTCCACCAGGTCCCCGGGTTTTCCAGGCCGCAGTTGTCACTGTACTCCAGGCAGCAGGAGTCTGGGACGCGGGTCATGTTGTACACCTCGAACCAGTCCGTGTGATTGGTCACTCCACAGCAACGGAACTGTGGCACACACCCAGTGGAAACACCCCAGCCCAAGATAGGAACTGAGTAACAGCCATGTTGGGTTCTGTCAAGCCTTCCACAAGAGTAGAAACAAACTACGTACATTGCCTGTCTGTCGCACACACACACACACTTTCTCCTCACTCTTTTCCTCTCCACGTTTTTCAATTTTTTTCAATTTCATGGTGTCTTACATCTGACATTGTTAAAGCTGAGACTGTAATGAAGAATGCTAAAAACAGTGTTACCACAGATAAGGAGTAATTGGCTCAGCATATGAACAATACATTTTACTTTCAAGCAAGAGGAATAACTGTCAATAAAAAATAATGGAACAAAAATAGCAGAAGGATAAACCTGCTTGTAAAATGAAGCCTGTACAATATTTTTCAACAAGTTTCTCCAACAATGCATATACGCAATATATCTTATCTGTGGTATGTGTCTTACTTAATAGCAGGCTGGACTATATTGATCAGTTAATAGCATTAAGAGTCTATTTTTTTTCAAGAAATTGTATTTCTCGTGTCTGAGAGTGCTAAAATTGTGTTTTATATTTGTGTTTGCTGTAATGAAAAGAGATCACATTTGTTACACGGTGACTGAGCTTCTGACACGTTGAAAATCAGGTTTACAAACCCGAAGCCTTTCAGCGGCAGTGTAAATGTGTAAAGCCATACATCTGAATTGTTATCCATACTGACAGCTTGACAACTCCATCCTCAAACCGAACTAAATTCCCAGTATTTTTTCTGCTCTGATTTCTCACTTCCGTTGCTGTGACCCTAAGTACTTCATCACTAAATATGTACTGTATTAAACTGAGCGACTGAATTTGCATAAATCAACTGTTCCAATAGATGGGAGGCTCCCACATTTTAAATTTGCTCCAACACTGGAAGCACCAGCTAAATCACATCTACACCCTTCATCAGCCAGCCTTCATAAGAAGTGCCCTTTAATTGACGTGTTCTAATCTATCAGTGTACCTGATATCTCACGTCTCTCTTATCTGTATTTATGTGGGTTTACTGTATCTTCTCATATACTCCTTTTTCAATTTTTTTCTTTGTTTTTTTGTTATTTTTAAACGTACTTTGTAAATAAATTTGACCTTTGACTTGAGGGAGATCTATACGGTACTCACGTCGGTTTGGACAATACTCCAGGCGTTGGTGAGGCCCACATTTCCCTCCGTGCCAAAGAGCTGAAGTCCCTTTTTGAGGTCCGACTGGGCGTAGTGATCTATCTACAACAACAGAGACCACAGGTCAAATGTTCAACACACTCCAGAGGACATGTTTCAAGTTCACTAGAGTAAACATTGTGATTTTCATCGTTTGTTTTTAAGTCAACAGATATTGGTTTTAAATGTACTTTATAAATAAATTTGACTTTGACATTTGACTTTAGTGACATCGGGGGGACCTGTTTGGTTAATATGTTTTAGACATGAAAGAGGCAAATGGGAGTAGCATTGCTGCATAGCACCTTCAGGACTGGGGGGTCATTTTAAATGCACTTTGAGTAGCAGTATGGTAAGTAAAAGACGAAATCCATTGAGGCTTTGTAACATGAAAATGTATTATGAGCTGTTAATTCTCATTTTCCAGTGCTTAACATTTAATCATTTATTATAAAGCTGCCAAACCCCCCCACGTCCGCTTTATGCATTTTATTCACCACTCTTCTTACAAAAACAAGTAACAATGGAACAAAGGTGCACACTTCAGGGTTCTGTTCCCGGACTAAGTCTTGGGACCAGGAGGAAAAGGGTGTTCTGTAAGTGTGGCTGCAAGCCTCAAACTGTAGCGTTTTGCTTCAATGTGTGGCTGTTGTTCATGGCTGTTTACATCCCCGGAGCCCCCTTTGTTTCGTACGTCCCGCCTGGCCTAGAGATGAGGGCATGAGTGAGCAATTCTGCTCTGAGGGGGGTGAATGAATTCTCTTTCCCCCGGAGCCTGGGCCCAACAGGACAACAACATCAATAATTCAGCAGTGAGTCGTGGTGGGGGGGTGGGGTGGGGTGGGGGGGTTTTGCACTGGGACGTGAGGTGAGTTAGGAACAAGCGACGGGAACTAAGAGCAAAGACAAGGGGCGTTTAAGAGCGCAGAGGGCGAGCCGCTTCCATACTTCACCGCTCTGTGGACATCTGGCAGGAGAGCCCGGGGAAAAGCCTTGTTTTGGCGTGATTATGTCACAGTGAGGAGACCATTAATAAGCACTCAAAGAGAAGTGTGCATCTGCAAATTAAATTCCCCCATCATCAACCTCTCTCCTTGGCAGAGGATGCAGCACAGACACAGGTCTCTGGCTCACCCCTCTGCCACACAGCAGAGAGCCATCCAAACTAGCTTGCACCGAACATGTGCGGATTCCCCATCTTTAGCGTAAATTAGCCATGCAAATGTAGCTATGCTGGTCTTAAGTTAAAGGACGCTCCAGTCGTGCCCCTGAATTCTGCTGTGTGTGTAGTACCAATCCTGATGGCCAGTAACCTACATACGTTGGTCTCTGGGGCTGTTAGTAATATCACACACTGTTTACTGCAGGGATGGTGTCTGCCTGCCTGCCTGCCTGGATTCCAATTTGATAGACTGCACCACCGAACCCTTAAAAATGTGTGCCTGTTAGTGCATTAAGCCATCAGCCCAATTAATCCAAATTCGTCCGGGAATATGGACATTTAATGAGGTTTGTAAATAGTCACCTTCGGAAACGCCATTTTTGCCGACTTTGATTAAGAGGCGAAGACCGAAATGATGGCTCCCCATTGAATCCGTAAAATGCTAACATGGGCTGAACGGCTAAAATGAGGCTCTCCTGCCTATTTTTTTACCCTCACATTATCCCACCGTTATACGAAACTGGGCGTCGGCTAACGGTCAGCTTGTGCTTACACACGTACAGAGGGGCTGCTGGTGACATCATACTAGAGGAAAAGGCAACATACTTCAGAGCTTCAGAAACTGTTGAATATGACAGTCGCTGCATTGTGAACGCTAGGCTCCGACAGCACAAACCCTGTTATTATGAGGTTATGACAGTGTGTAGCTACTGGAAAATAAACCATGATGATAGTAATGATGTAGAGCAAATGTATTATTTTTCCACAACTGCACAGCCCAAAATGATTAATTCCAGCTATACTAGAGTCGCCGATTGTTCATTGATTAATTTATAATGATGATAAGTTTTACATTTGGTAGAGCCACTGCCATTCATTATCATTTCGAGCCATGTCACTGTCTAAAATGACTTGGCTCCTTCTCACGCGATCAGTGCTGGGTATTTACTCACGGTATTAGGGCAGAACGACGGCTACGGGAGCACACACATTGTGAGAGGCTGCACTATAACAGCACGTGTATTATTTGCCTGCTGATCAATCATACACATTCCGTTCAATTTGCTTTCATGCAATGCTTGTCCCACTATAGTTGTTATTATGTGCTTAATGAAAAATACAGCAGCTTATTAGGTCATCAGATTAGCTACATTGTGTCGCCACTGGTTCATTTAGTCATCAAACCTTCAAAATTACGTGGCCATTGGTGCGTTAGTGCAGCAGTAATGCAGACTGGGGCAAAACCACATGCTCTGGAATAGAGGGCTGTACCAATACATATACTGTGAGGTACCAGTCTGTAGCAGGACATACACTGTAGGATACAGGACATCATGCATTGTCCACAATCATGCCTTGGAGTCCATTTAAGTAATGTGAATTTGCTCTACAAAAACCAGTAAATGGAAACTATATTAAATTGGGAGGGTTATCTTCAGGACACAAAAAAACAATCGGGGAAGTTTCACCCTGCATGGATGGATCTTTGCTCTGGAAAATTGACATTTCTACTGAGATCCACTCTGAGAAGGGGCTGGGGGCTGTATCCTTACCTGATTTTGATAGGCAAAGAAGAGGATGATAGAGAGAATCTCCAGCAGGAAGATCAAGAGGAGGAGAATGAAGAACTGCAAAAAAAAACAGAGGAAGTTAGGGTAAGTTATGGAGAGTGAAGGAAACACTATTGAATGACACAATCTCAGTACAGGATTCTTCTTGCCAACAAGTTGTCCTGGCTTTAACTGCTCCAAGTTCCATTTAATCTGTAATGCATTTCTCTCAAATCACTGAAGTACAGAAAAAGGAATGTTTGGTTTAGGGCAAAAAGAGTCATCAGTCTAAAACATTTAAATCGATTTCACTAATTGATTAATCAAGAAGATCGTTTGGAGAAAGTTTATCCAGAAGCACGTTCTTCTGAGTAATGAGTTCAGGACCCCTGTATTAGAGTATTTTAAATAAATCATTATGTAGTAATGCCAGTGCAACATTTTCCCTTTTTGGTTTTAGACAGAGAGCACTTACTGTGGAGAAGAGAGATAGTCAAATGCACACAATGAAAAAGGAAGAATCAAACGAGAGAATTGCCTGTTAAACAAGAAGGAAGTGGAAAGGACGACCTCTGACCTTTAATTTCATTTACATTAATTATCTCCTTGGCAAATTCTTCCAAATCCAACATCCCATAGTATACAAATGCTCACTTGCCCATTATAGTGCTGAATATTTACTGAGGGAATTCATGCAAAGTGCCGTTTCTTAAGGGCTATACTTCTATTACCACAATTATCCATTATCTCTGCCACTGCCTTTAGGTACTCAGCAATTAAAAGGGTCTCAGACTGATTCACAGTGAACCAGATCATCCAAAAAAAAAGCAATTTCAAATTGAATCATAGGCCCTAATAAGGTAATATAAAGGGGCTGCACGATGGCACAGTGGCCAGCACTGTCGCCTCATATCCCTGGGACCAGGGTTCATGTCATGTCATGTGTGGAGTTTGCATGTTCTCTCTCTGTTGCTATTGGGCTTCCTCCTGGTTCTCTGGTTGCCCCCAGAGTCCAGAAACATGCTGAGGTTAATTGAAGTGTGATTGGTATGTGAGTGTGACCTGCAATAGGTTTTCACCCCATCCTGGGTTGTTCCCTGCCCTGCACCATAGGCTCTGGACCCCTCACAACCCTGAACAGGACAAGGTGTTACATGGATGGATGGATAGAAGATAATAGATGTAATCTACAGAACAGTAGGGATGCTGCTCTTCATTGTTCCTGAGCATTATGATGATCAGTAACTGGATGGAACCATACAGCAGAATGGGAAACCCCTATACTACCCAGGCCTGCCTAGCATCCTTTAGGCCAAGCTCCTGTTCTTAAATTAAGAATGGAGGTCTTGTAACTCTAAAGGGCACAGACTGCACTGTAAAACCACTTACTGTGCAGAAACATCACTAAACTCACTTTAACAGCCTGGCCTCTGCGGTAGCACCACTGGCTTTACAAATAAAATACTGCAAATGCAAACTCCGCTGGTTTAAGAAAGCCAGATTTACAGACCCCCCTCCCCCATTAGTTTTGTTGGGGGGGGCTAAAGTAACATACACAAGGAAGACCTGCTCCTAATTCTGGGCTCTTCATATCTTTCATTCTCAGATCTCCCTCGGTTGTGGATTTGTCTCCTGGGCAGAGATAGTATGCAGTTGGTTTAACTGCAAATTGCACTGGTTTCCCAAGGCAGTACTATAGATTACAATCGACCCCTCTGAATCACAACTTTCCCCATCGCGGTTTTGATATATCATGGTCTCAGCAAAACACTTCACTTGAGGGGGCACAAATACTTAGTAGTAACTCAGTTACCACTGAAGCAAAAATCATCGACAAATATACTAGCTACTTGAGATAAAAGATGCGTCACCATTCATTAATGATGAATAAACATGAGAGCAGTATTTCAATTGTGTTATTCATTATTTGTTCCATCAGTAGTTCACAAAGGTCTACAGAATTAACAGATACAGTAACAAATATATTAAATGCTTGAGATAAAAGATGTATCACAAATCATTAATGATCAATGGACATAAGATTAGTATGTAACTAAGACTTTGCTTGGGGTTAATTAATACTTATGTAATAGCACAATGCTATATTATTTGTGGCCCCTCAAGTAAAGTGCTACCGTTTTGCGAAAGCCGCAGACAACAAGCAACGGCCAGCAGAGGACACACAAAATGTTTAGTAACTGATAAATACGTAAAATACATGTGCAGTGGTTTGAAGGACGGCAAGTGTGAATCTCGCGGTTCTCGTATATTTTCGCTTCGCTTTCCAAAAAATTTTGCACGGTTTTTCCAGATTGCTGGGGACCTGCATCCCTAACCCCCATGGTGCGGAAGGGTCAACTGTACTCCATTAAGGGCTGAAATCAGCAATATAAAAAAACCCCACAAGGTCATGTCTGGTAACCTGGTTGCACAGAGCAAAATATCTGACGCTTCCAAAATGTGTGTGACCCACATCCTGTCTAAGCACGTTATATTGTGTCATAGATAGCCCTGGAATTATATATAATATGAAGAGAGTGTTACACTTTATAGGCCCTACATAGAGGTATACAGCTATTGATATAATAGTGGGTGGAAGTGCCAATGTAGTTTCTCCTTAATTTCTGCAATTTTGTGAGATGAGATTTACTCCCACTATCTAAAGCTACGCTCCATTTACCGCGGAGGTCAGAAGTTGGAGCTGAGAATGACATCACACCTGAATTAACCACGTTCCAGCACGTCAGAAAGCCATTTAGCAATACCAGATCTAACCACGTTTATTGTTAGCCATTGTTAGCAATACCAGTTGATAACAACTCATTATGTGGTATTTTGTGAATACAAACACCGTAGCATTATGCCCACAGACAAAGGCTGGACGGTACTGTATGACGAATTTGATGAGACATCACTAAGACACGAGCTAACAAACAGCATATAACTACAGCTATCATTTCTGTTGATGAAGAGTTTAGCCATCATGAATTCTTAGCTCGAGGTTGTTGAGGTTCCTCCAACTTTCCGAGTCCAACTTCAGGGGGCGATACAGTTACAGAAATTCTGCCTTCCCAGTTCAAAAATGAACGCAGTAAAAGAGTATTGCAACCTGAAGGTGAAACAAAAACAGAAACGATACAAAAGAAACAGAAGTCTTACTCATTAGTCAACTCAATTGATACAACAGGAAGTGTCTCACTGATTTGTCTATTCAATTATAGAACAGGAAGTATCTCCTTGGATAGAGCCTACTCAAGTGAGACAACAGGAAGCGTCTCACTGATCACAGTCTACTCAGTGATACAACAGGAATTGTGTCACTGATTACAATTTACTCAATGATACATCAGGAAGCGCCACACTAATTACAGTCTATTCAATAGATACAATACCAAGTGTCTCACTGAATGTTGTCTGTATAGGGGTGAAACAATGAATCTGTTTTGATTCTGCTATTAATGTGTGCGACATTTCCCTGAACCATCCAGCAAACGCAAGCCGTTTCTACGCACTGCAAAGCGCCGCTCTCCACCGCACTTCCTGCTGTGGCTCAGCTGCCTCTATATGAGGCTTTTAAAATAATTCATAAATTATTTACACGATAAACCTGTAGACATTTCCTTACACACTCTGCCTTCACTTAACCTTTATATGTTTTTAGTGAGATAATGCTTGTCTCACTGCAGGAGGACCGACAGACTGCCTGGGTACTGAAGACGGCCATAGTCTATCTATCTGCAGACTTAACAAGATCTGACAAAAAGTAAATTATGGATATTATCCAGAAATGTTTAATCTTTTTTCCCTCCTAGTTGTATTTGCTCCTTCTGCTGAATTACTGCTAAATGCAGCTATTATACAGTCTTTTATGTAGTATCCTGATTGAGTGGCAGTGTGCCTGTGACAGGCGCGATATGGATTGCTAATCAAGACTGATACAAGGTAAATTACTTATTATGGGAATGCTTGAATCCACTATTAAGTATGATTTGTGACCCTCACATAAAAGCTCATTTCTATCCAGCTGTATAAAGACCAGGTAAGGTCTCGTGGTTTTGGATCACTGGCCATTTCAGCCACATCGAGGCAGAGTATTAATCAGCAAGCTAGCAATTTGCTTTATGTGACTCAGTTTAGCATTGAGAAAATAATTAAATGCCTTGCTAATTATTACGTAATAAGCTACCCTTCCTACCCTGCAAATAAGGTTAGAGAACTATTCTTATGCACAAACTAAGAACTTTATTTCACATAGCACACATTCACATTAATTTCATGAAATCAACTTAATTAAAGCTAGAAATTTCATCTATTGAGTAAGAGGTGGGTCTTCTACAAAGTGGAAGTCTAGTTTAATCACACTGATTCCCTAAACCTGTCCTTCATTTTCACAAAGTATATAAACTGTTGGTGTTCTGGAGGACCCTGAATATCCTTTCCTGTATCACGTCACGCCTACAGTGCATGTTACAGCTGTGATCCACATTATTACTGTGCTACTGTCACAATGGCACTCACTTCTAATCAGTCCTGTTGAATTTCTGGAAGGATGTTCTAAATAACCGGGCCTCATTGTTCTTCTGATTGAATTCTAGCCATTGTTTTACATTTCATAATATGTTTTTGGTAAAAGTAACTACAATTAATTAATTGTCCAATTAAAGAATGTTGAATAGTTTCAAGCCATCGAACAGCAAGGTAATTAGATAAACAGTAATTGATTTATCTTGAGTTGAATTAGCTAATTTAATTTGCACTATTTGTTTGGGGAGGGTTACAAATGAACCAAATCACGTTAAAGGGACGTAATTTACATTTTTATTAGCATAGAATGCACCGGTGCATTGTAACCATCAACAGCTTTGATGTCTTAATACGCTTTTAAAAATGTCATTTGTAATTAATATCAGGATAATGGGAGCGACAAATGCCAACTGGGAAGCAGCAGTGAAGCACGTGCACCAGGAGAGCCGCAGCCAATCTCGAAGAGTCTGTTGCAAAAATATCCTGCATGGTGAAGTGTTCTTGCTGAAATAAGAGAAATGATAAGAAAGGAAAGCAGCAAAGAGCACAGGCCGGCCTTCAGGCCCAGCAGCGCACAGCAGGGGGTGACTTCAGTGCCCCTCTATGGCTTTGGAATCCCGGCACCATGAGAGGGTAGCTGTGCTTTGTATTACTCAACATTCACCTTTGTGGTCAAGGCTCAGGAGAAGATGAGAAGTGTCAAGTTGGAAAAGTCAACTTCAAACAAATCCCCTGCGTGGCCAGTCATCGCACGTTATCTTTGTCTCTCTCAGCAGACTTGGCGTCTTTTTCATACTTGGGTGCACATGGACCAGCAAAGTTTCCACAGCATGTGGATTGATCACCTTAGCAGGCTTTATCTTTATCAGTGAATGTCAATAAGATCCTCCTGGCATAAAGACCCCATCTAGCTGACAGACAGCTGTACGTAGAGTGGAATGAACAGAAAACGCACATGTGTATATTTCGCTGTTGTGAGAAAGTCAGTTGTGCCAATATGTTTTGATGGAAGACTTAAAAATTCTGAACACCTTTTAAAATCCTGCATGTATAATGAACCTCAAAATGACGAATAATTTGCTCTCACCTCTAAATAAATGTGCAAAAACATATTAAAACCTCTGTGAAAATGAGATCTTCTCAGGTTTTGTCAGTGTCATTAAGGTGTTTGACTGAACTGTTTGCCTTTGACGGGACTTACTGACTCCACTTCCTGCCGCTACTCGCACTCGCTACTCACACCTGCTACTCACACCTACTGTTCATGATACAGAACTTCTGCCTTCCAGAGCCCCCCAGCACCGACCATTCCATTCTGCTTCAGGCTTCCATTAAATTGTATCCTTTAAGTTACTACAGACACGACTCTTCTCGCGCACCTACACATTTATACGCAGACTGTTACCATACAATAAAGCCAAGCTCAGTTTTAAGCCTCCATTCTTTGTTTAGTGAGACCCCCGGCCAAATGAAAGCCATTATTCAAGCTAATGATGGTTCCCCGGCATCTGAGGTGTTCCAGTTGTGATCATTATCAATGAGAAGTGTGATGAGGACAAATGTAATCAAGGCTTAGGAGAAATTGATCCAGGGATCCTGTCCATTAACTGCAAGCTATTCTTTCCATGTCAGTCCTATCGGCGTGAGCTGGGGGACTGGGACTGGGGAGAGTGAGAGAGCAACACCTCTGGGCCTCAGGCTCCCACTGAGTCATACTGTCCCACACATTGCCATCCCATAATGGCCCGTCCATTTCGGAAGCCTCTGGTCACCCCCCCCCCCCACCACCACATCACATGCAGGATCTTGCATGCACTCAGAATGCCGGCTCAGAGCCAGAATATGTCAATACTGAAGACATAAATGAAACTTCTCAGAAACATATTCAGTATGCTAACAGAACAACCGTTACAGAAAAAAATAGCAAAAATCAATGGTAATTACTATCTTGAGACACCGGCACGGTTGCCCCTAAGGGTGCGTTGTGTGTGCAAGAGAGACAGCTTCTACCAATATTTGAGAGAGGTACTTTATAATCGTGGCCTGACTTGGGTGAAAAACGTAATTTTCCAAAATCATTGCGAACAATGAGTGAAAAAATAATTTCAGAACTGTGGATAGACAGACAAACAGACAGACAGACAGACAGACAGATAGATAGATAGATAGATAGATAGA